AACCAGCTGAAACATCCAGCCTTGTAATCTGAGAAACTACTGGATTCTTGAACTTTCCATTCATAGCCAGCCATTGTTGGACTAGCTGGACCACAGTCTGTAAGCCATCCTAACAAATCCCCTTTCTATATACAGAGAGAGATTTTTTCTATAAGTTCTGTTACTCTAGAGAACGCTGACTGACACACTTAATCAAAGGATTCCAATTGGAATCTCGAGCATAGGGATGGAGAATTGGAATGCTCAAGTTTGAGATACATGAATTGCCTTTGATCACTAATCCATTGTTTTCGGTAAGTAGTCAGTTCTTTGTTTTTCTTAAACAGTCGTTAAGAATTCCGCTAGCTCCCACTGTGAAAAAAAAGATGAGCTAGAGGTACGAGCTTTACCACATGAGTTTTCTGGATATATCTATTAATGCTCCCCAGCTCTCCTCAGAGCTGGGTGCTTCTGTCAGGGTACAGCCCTTCTTGCTTAGCTTAGCACTGCCGTCTCACTTTCATTGTCCACACAGCCAGATGCAGCTGCATTTATTTACATTTTTTTAAATGAATGAAACTCTTAGCTTGTTGACATATTGGAAAGGCTAAAAATGTCCCATTTTAAACTCCTGCTCACAACTACATCCGCATGGGTGGCAGCTGAATTAGCCCCACTTTGTAGCGGAGTTGATTTTCAAGGGAGATGTTTGCAGGAAAATGAAGGGTTTGGAAAGCCTTATTACTGGGTGACACAGAAGCAGCTATTTCGGTTGCGTTTCAAGTTTCCAAGAGAAATTTCAACTCAAGGCCATGAGACAAAATCACAGGCACAAAGAGGAAGGAGAGACACTGTATTTCTGTTCAGACTTCCCACAGACTGCTTCCCCGGTCACCGGATCACCTTGGTTTGAACTGGTGGCAGTGAAAAAGATCAGACATTCTGGAACTCTTACCACAGACTTCACAGCCAACCTCCAATTACCCACACTGTGTGATCCGAATAGCATCCACTCATTTGCAGACATCTACCAAGAGGCAACCATGAATGAAAGAAAGCCTGTGTGGTGGAGGCTGCAAGGCAGGCAGGGACATGGGAGTGGGCAGAAGCCACTAGCTGCCCCTGTGGAACTTACAGTATGGAAGGCAATTGACTGGTGTGCTGAGCAGGATGGGAGAACCATTGTAGTAGAGAAGTAGCATAGTTGAAGTGGGGGATGGATCAAAGAAGCCGCAAGAGGAGGTGGGTTGAACTGTCCGGAAATTATATTCCACAGATGGCATCAGCAAAACACGGAAGTAGAAATGGTATGGTCAGGGGAGGATGCAGCAAGTATGTGTGCATAAGAAAGGTAAAAGGTGCTTAGGGCTAAGTCCTAGAGAGCCTTAACATCATAACAAGCAAGTGAACCAGATACGCTGGGCAGAGGCAGGTTTTTGAGAAGGCAAAACTATCTTGCCCATATCAGATGGAAAGACAGGTCATGTGACAAAGAAAAGATAGTTGGAAATCTGGTATGTCACCACACTGCTGAGATAATCCTGAAGAGATAATAGGAGCAGCAGCATCAAAGCACTGAGTGAGAAAGCTCTAAGGAAGAGAGGACAGTCAGGGGAAGGAAGCCAGCTGTGTGGCCCCCTGGGCTCCCTCCCTCTCTCTCTGCAAATGGGCCACCTGCCCCCACAGAAGGCACAGGTCCTGGTAGGCAGATGCTGTAGAATGAGGTCCTCTGAACAAAACAGCCACCATCTTCAGCAAATCAGCTGTGCCTGCTTGCAAGAGACTATCAGATCAGGCCTGTGGATTGTTGCTATCACCTTAGAGTAGAAAGGGGTGCGGGGCTTCACTGGACCCTTGCCTAGTTTTCCAGTGGCCCCCCAGCCATTTGTATGCAACCCAGCCCTAATTGTGCCTGGCCTCTGGGGGTGCTAGAGTACATAGGCCAGGGAAGATAACTGGAGGGAACTGGGAGACAGATACCTCCATCTACGCGCTATGAGAAGCCATCATCCCATTCTGGGTGAGACTTCCTAGTGCAGCTGCTTTGGGGTCTGTAGGGCAAAAAAAAGTCTGAGCTCACTTCCAGGTTTTGAAAATCCACCAATACCCTGAGCTCAAAATCCCACCAATCCCTGAGTTTACCCCAAGCTCAGGACTTGAAATCCCACCCTGAAAAATGCCACCACCACCCCCAAAAAAACCCTATATAAGCCTGTCTCCCACTCAGTCCTCTGCTGCTTCTCACCCAAGCAGAGGCAGCCACCTCTGCATCATTCCCAACAAATCTCTTGTGTGAGGTTTGTTGTATGGTGTGACTTTGTGGTATTCCTTGGCTCCCAACTGCCAGGATACCTTTCCCTTCAGAGCTGCCACACTTCCATTGGGGAAACCTTTCCCCTCAGAGCTGCAACACCTACAGAGTCAACCACACGCATACACTCAATCGAACTCACTGGTTCACTATATAAAGCTTTGGTGGAACCACACCTTGGTTTGCCATTGGGGCCTATGAGGGAAGAATAAATGCTTTTTACACATCTGCAGGGAAGGAATTCTGGCAACAGCAGCCACCTCCTGAAGCTACCATAGGCTCTCCAAGCTCTGGGAACCGCTGCCTGCCTGCTCAGCCTAGAAAGGTAATGGCACCCGAGTGATCAGTAATGACCTGGTTGGCAGCAGCCTCCCCTCTCCATTCCTGCTGGTTCTCCTGCCCTTGTCCACGACTATAGACGAAATTCTAAACAGTCTTATTAAATAAGAAACACAGAGCCAAATACAGAGTTAAAAGCCCAAGAGATCCCAGCACTAGTGAAGAGCCTTTAGCTTACCAGTCGCTGCCGTCCTTCCCCTCAGAGAGACCTTCTCCTGTGTCCTGTCTTTTTATTGCCTTTCTGTTCTGCCTTCTCATTGGCGCTAAACCCAACCACTTGACTTCCTCATCACTGCCTGTCTATACAGACCTCCAGGTCTCTATGGTTGGTCCTGGGATTAAAGGTTCGGGACACCGCTTGACTGTGTCCTTGACCACACAGAGACTCTGCCTGCCATGTGATCGCGATTAAGGGTGTGTGCTACCACTGCCACGGACTCCTGCTAAATGGCTTGCTTTTAGCTCTGATCCCCAGGCAACTTTATTTATTAAAATACAAATAAAATCACATTTCAGCACAAGTAAAATATCCCCACACACGACTTTGTGGTGTCCCTTCATCAAACTCTCCTCAGATACTGTTGAGTGGCCTCTGGTCCCTTTCCAGCCCATACAGCTCCCAACAGTCTCACTGTGCCATCACCAGCTATCACAGCTTGGGGACAGCAGGTCACTAAGTTCACTCAGTAGGGTGCATTAATACAAGAAAATGAAACTTTGAGACAAGTAAACATCCATGAAAGGGACCCTGTCATTGTTTCCGAGAATAACAAGGTACCACCTAGTAGATGGCTTCCAGCAGAAGAAACTGATTGGCTCACAGTTCTGGTGGCCAGAGTCTGAAATCCAAGTGTCAACAGAACCATGTCCCTTGAGAACCTGTAAGAATACGCTTTTGTTTCTAGGTCTGTTGGTAACCTTGAACACTCCTGACTATGGCCAGATTTTACTTTCAGCCTCTGTGATCACACAGCACTCTCCTGGGTGTTTCTGTATCACATGGCCCCCTCTCCTCTGAGTCTATACCCAAGTCTGCCTGCTGTGGGATGGTCTGTATGGCAAATGTGTTGCTGATTGGTCAATAAATAAAACACTGATTGGCCATTGGCTAGGCAGGAAGTGTAGGCGGGACAAGGAGGAGAATAAAGCTGGGAAGTGGAAGGCTGAGTCAGAGAGACACTGCCAGCCGCCACGATGACAAACAGCATGTGAAGATGCCGGTAAGCCATGAGCCATGTGGCAAGGTATAGATTAATGGAAATGGATTAATTTAAGCTGTAAGAACAGTTAGCAAGAAGCCTGCCACGGCCATACAGTTTGTAACCAATATAAGTCTCTGTGTTTACTTGGTCGGGTCTGAGCGGCTGTGGGACTAGCAGGTGAGAGAGATTTGTCCTGACTGTGGGCCAGGAAGGAAAACTTTAGCTACATCTGCCTCTAATGAGGATATCACTCCTACTATGAATTAGGGGGTACCCAATGACTTTATCTTAATTTGGTTATATCTGCAAAAACTCTACTTGCCATAAGGCCCTAATCTGACCTGCTATATGTTAGGAAGGCAATACCTTTTGGAGAGATACAACTTAGCCCGTAACAGGATATGGTTATAACAGATATCCATGCTGGTGATAACAAGGGTTTCTCCATGCTCCTGAGCCCATGGTCACCACTTTCATATTCAATACAAAAAACCAACTATCTCAGCTCTGAGGCCTCTGAGACCATAGCCTTGCCACTTGAGTATATCAGGCTGGCAATAGGACTTTAATAAGACAGAAATTCTAGAGGCATGTGTGGACACTGCTTTCATCTGTATCCAAGTTCTGTCTGGATCACTACATTCTCCTATTTGGAATGCCCTCCTCTGTCCCTTCTATTTGTATGAATCAGCCAAATCTAGCCCTTTCCAATGGGCTAAATCTGGCTTCTCTGTTCCTTCACATTCCCTGAATGATTCCAGCCCACATAAACCTCTCCTGAATAGACCAATATATTTATTAGGATGTTCATTCTATAAATGACATCATTTAGCTCCTTTTTCAATTGACTTTTTTTTTTACTCTTAGTATAAAGATAGAAACCCTCATGTTCCCTGAATCACCTAGCCCCAACCATCTTCATCAGCACAGTCTCCTCCTTTCATTCATGCTGGGTATCCGGGCCTTTTAGCTCTTCAGAAGTACATTTCCGTGGGACCTAAAGCTCACTCAGCTTATTCTCTCACTCCTAACATGGCTCTCTCCAGGAAACAATTCCAGAATCCTCTAGGTTGAATCTTTCTATTTTAGATGCCCGTGTTGTCTAAAAGTGCACACCAAACCTCATCACTGACATCAGTAGAGTGAGTCATGTCTCACTGAACACCTACCTGTCTCCCTTCCGGGCTGTGTGACAGCAGGGTCCACTCTGTCTCACGACCCACTGGACCCCAGTGCCTGGCTCCACACTTGGCATGCAGCAGGTATTAAAGCATCTATTAAAAGAGTGAAGAGATCAGTGTGGCTACAGACAAGGAACATGTGCTCATTTCTCTATCACACAATCCTGGATCTTGCCCCTTCGTGTCTATAAGAAACAACGATAAGAAGAAGGACGTAGAATCTGTGGAGATACTATAGACTCTGTGCTGACTCCATCACTAGAAAGTCTGCCCTATCTGGCTCCCCAGGAAGTGAATTAAAAAAAAAAAGTAGGGTTAAAATTCCAGATCTAGGGCAGTGTGTTAGTTACTACTCTATTGCTCTGAGGAAATATCATGTCCAAGGAAATTTATAAGAGAAAGCATTTAATTGGGGCCTTGCTTACAGTTTCAGAGGGTTAGACTATTATCATCATGGCAGGGAGCATGGCAGCATGCAGACAGGCAAGCATGGTGCTAGAGAAGTAGATGAGAGCTTACATCTGATCTGTAAGTTGCAGAGAGAGAGCGAGAGAGAGAGAGAGAGAGAGAGAGAGAGAGAGAGAGAGAGAGAGAGAGAGAGAGAGAGACTGGGCCTGGTATGGGCTTTTGAAACCTCAAAGCTCACCTCCAATGACCCAACTCCTCCATCGAGGCCACACCTACTTCAATAAGGCCATACCTCCTAATCCTTCCCAAACAGTGTCACTAACTAGGGACCAAGCATTCAAACACAGGAGCCTATAGGGCCCATTCTCATTCAAACCACCCCAGGGAAAAAAGATGGTTCAGAGGTTAAGAACACTTACTGCTCTTACAGAGGACCTGAGTTTGGCTCTCGGCATCCCCACAACAGCCCACAACTACCCGTAACTCCAGATCCAGGAGATCTGATAACCTCTTCTGGCCTCCAAGGGCCCCTGCATGCACGTGGGGCACATAGACTCACACAAACATACACATTAAATAAATGAATTATTATTAATGAAATAAACATTTTTAGAAGTCTAATTCCACAAGAAACAAAATATCTTGTTTGTCTTCCATGGGCAGACTCCAGATTTAGAATGTACATGTGATGAGAAAGCAAAGGGGAGAGGAAGCAGTAAGGGAGGGACACCAGCCCGGAGCAAGGAAGTACAGGTAAGGATAGTGGGGTGTAAATAGGACAGACATGCTATCGTGATGCATGTGTGTAAAAGTGCCCTAATGAGCCCCATTGTTTTGCATGCTGCTGTGGAGTAATCCTCTTAGACACTGCAAAGATTTGTCATTCAAATTGGTTTAATAAAATGCTGATTGGCCAGTAGCCAGGCAGGAAGTATATGCGGGGCAATCCCCAGCCAGATGCAGGAGATGAACGTGCCACGCTAATACAGGTACTGCCATGTGGCAGAGTGTAAATAAGGACTATGGATTAACTTAAAATGTAAGAGCTAGTTAGTAACAAGTCTGAACTATGGGCCAACCACTTATGAGTAATATTCAGCCTCTGTGTGGTTATTGGGGACCAGGTGGTCAGGACAGGAAACGTCTGTTTACAGTATGCTAAGAAAATTAATTTCAAAATAGAATAAAACCTCAGTTCTGCATCTTGGTGGCTATGTAGCTTTGGATGTGTCTCACCTCATTCTTGTCGTCTGTCCATGTGGAGAAAATAAATCCTGATCTCACAGATTGCTGTATCATAGTAAATGTGATTTTACATTGAAAGTGTCTCATGAGTGCGAAAGCCTGTAACATATGAATACATGTCCCGATAATTAATATTGATGGCAATATTTATAATAACTACATCTGAAACTTGACCTGTGAAACCTCGTTTACTCAATAAACATTAAGTAACTGAATAATCACTTCAGAGAAACAAAAATCACATAGAAACATCACAATGAAAACACACTGTTGCATAATTAAGTTACCCAAATAAGACCTTCTAACATATCCTCTGGCCCCCTCTGGCCTTGGCCTACAAGTAGCCTTACTCTTGGCTCTGGAGAACTTTGGAGGCTGCATTCTCGAGAGGCTCTGCCTCAACTTACCCTTAGCGAAGTGTAACCCTTTCCCACCCCAGAAGACAGACTGCTCTCCACGCCTGTATAGCACAATATGAAGCCAGTGGATGTCCACTTTGGCTGAAGTGGTCCTGGTTGCCATGCCTACATCATCATCATCATCTGGGGGTTTAGGATGACGTGCCTGGGTTAGTTTTTCGTGTTGTTTCTTAAGGGATGAGACATTTGTTTGGACTCAGGCTTGAGATGTGGTGTAGAAAGGCCCAATATGGTGTAGAAAGCATGGTGGCTGGAATCACCAAGTCTACAGCAGCAGGAGCTCACAGCAGCAGGTTCTCATATGGCGTTGATCAGGAAGTAGACAGCCTGGTCAGGAAGCAGGCCAAGCTATCGCCCCCTAAGGCTCACCCCCATGACCTCCCTCCACCAGCTATGCCTCCCACCCTAGAGGCCCCACAACCTCCCCAAACAGCACCACCAGCTGGGACCAAGTGACCAAACACATGAGGCTGTGGGGGGGGCACCTCACGTTTGCCATAGCAACTTCTAACCTCTCCTGATGCCTCTGCCCTGAAGATAGAGTCCACCATCAGAAAGAACACTCCACCTTCAGCAGGCAAGGCCTAACTGCAGGCTTCAGAGAACTATGCGAAGTGTTTCTTTCCTTTGCTAAGGAGTCCCATGTGGTCCCACTGATGTGGCCCTTGAGAAGTGACCTCTCTTCTCTGCCTGCCTCCCACCTGTGTCCCCTAGTGCCCTCTACCGTCTCCCAGGAATCGCACCCTCACTAGAGGCTATGAGTGGACCTCAGTCTTTCACGTCCTTCAGGCTGACACATCCCTTGGACAACCTTTGCTTCTTGCTGGTATTTACCCTTTGACCCCACTCTAGCCAGTATGGCGCAATAACATAATGACGCTTCTCATTCCTGGATGCTGCTGCTGTGACCCCCCCTTTCCACCCTTTCTTGACAAGACCCCGATAAATAAGCACGCTGGTGGGTTGATTCGAATTGCATCAAAAGGAGAGCTTCTCTGTTGGTGTGTGGAGGATTGAAGGGTAACACAAAGGAAGCCAGAACAAAGCAGAACTGTTTGGAACCAAAACACAGTGGCACCCCCAAATCCAGGAGGCCATCTGACTGCCAGACTCACCTGCCTCCCCCTTCCTCGTGGGCTGGGAGATGTTCCCTGCAGGCCTATCTCCTCCCCCAACACAGGGAGCAGGCCGAGCAATGGGCAACACCTGCAGTCCACCTGCTGCAGACACATTCGCACAGCTCTCTAGAAGAGGGCAGAGACCTTCAAAAGCCATTTTTGTGACACACCCCACAGGTGACATGATCGGATACAGCATTAGGCAGTCACAGTGGCACATTCCTATAATCCTACGGTAAGGCAGGAACAGAAAGAAGTCATTTTAAAGATGATTTTGTCTTCATATTCTGATTATAAGATACAGTGACACAGAAACCACTATATAATCATGGTAGCAAAATGTGAAATACCAATGAATAAAAACCCCAAGTCATCTACAACTCGATGATCCAAGGGTAGCCAGACTTTTAGTCTTGTGTGTAAAGATACAGACACAGACATATGTACATGTTTGTGTAAAAATATGTCTATGTGTGTGTCCTGTTTTTATTTCCTGTCATTGTATCAGTGACAAGCTTCCATAACTATAAGTCCTTTTAGAAACATTTTGCATGAAATTCTGCATAATGTTTCATCATAGGCTTTTAGCAAAATCCTGTGCTATAAATACGGACGGAGTGGAGCTACTGGTAACAATGTGTTCATTAAACAGAGCCTGGCATGAGCATGTGCCAGCCCATTTCAGGGTTTGCTGCCTCAGTGACAACCCTCAAGCGAAGTTCTCAACTGATCCAACAGCCACTTCTTCACTGGGGCTTCTGTGAAATGCAGGCGGTCACGTGCTCCCGTGGCAAGAGGCATCTTCTCTCTCTTTTGAGATGAAAATTTATCTTGATGCTTCATGCAATTCCTTGAGCAGATGGCTGATAAATAAGCTTGATTGTTTACAGCGTCATCCAGACACAGGAATGACAGCAGGCTAGTGATGTTCAGATTTCTCCTTGCTGTGCCTCTCCTGAGCAGCACCATCCTCCAGAGAGAGCTGCACAGATTTCATCTTTCTGTCCATCAGGTACCAACCCCACAAGACTGTGCCTACAGCGAGCACCCAAGTTCACTGAGCCTTTTAGCACTGTCTTGGCCCATGTGTGCTGCTATAACAAAAGACTACAGCCAAAGCTAGCTTACAAACACCAAAAATATATCTATCAGTCACGGTCCTAGAGCCTGGGAAAGCCAATGCCGAGGTGCGAGGAGACATGGTGTCTCATGAGGTAATCCACTTCAAAGGTGGCGCCTTCTTGAAGCTCCCATTTGACAGAAGGGGGAGCACACTTCCTCCAATCTCTTTAGGACATTAGTCCATTCGTGAGGCTAGAGCTATCTTCTGAAATGACCCCACCATAAGCTAGTAATGCCACCACACTGGGGATTGTTTCAACTTAACAATTTGGAAGACACAAATATCAAAACCATAATAAGCACCTACTTTGAGTCTATGCTGTGACACACGCTTAGGAGTTCTGATACCAAATTTTATGGGAAGATAAAACTATTTGTGGTGGTTTGAATAAGAACAGCCCCCAGAGGCTCATGCATTCAAATGCTTGGTCACCAGAGAGTGATGCTATTGGAAAGGATCAGAAAAGTGTGGCCTTGTCGGAGGAAGTAGGTCACTAGAGGTAGGCTTTAAGGTTTCAAAAGCCCATGCCAAGTCCAGAGTCGCTCTGGTCCTGTGGATCAGGATGTAGCTCTCAGCTACCTCTTCAGCACCATGCCTGCCTGCTGCCATGCTCCCTGCCATGATGACAAGGGACTAACCTCTGAAACTGTAATCAAGCCCTCAATTAAATGTTTTCTTTTAAAAGAATTGCCTTGGTCATAGTGTCTCTTCACAGCAATAGAAACCCTAACTAAGACAGCATACAATCATCATACAAAACAACAACAACAACAAATACAACTATGGTTATGTAAATCTACTGTGCCCACCTTGGTCTCTGACTCACAACACTGTGTGGTGTCAAACCCAGGCCAAATGGAAGCAGAAGACAGAGGGAGAATACAGTACTCCCCGGGCATTGGGTGCTGAGTTAGTGGCAGAAAGGGGCTTGGACAACCCTTCAAAATAGCCTTGAACAGTCCACACCCCCTCCCATGGGATGCGGCAGGCCTGCCCGGGGCCTCCTGCCAGCTTCTGTCTCCTGACTCTTAATTGTGCAATTTCTTATTGATGTTCTGTAACCTCTCCTCTCGGCTTTTGGCTCTTCTCAGCACACTCCAAGGAACCCACCCTTCCTTAACTGGTTGTATGTTGGAGTACCCCAGAGTGTCCAACACACTCAAAGCACATGGAACCATATTTACATGTCCCACAGAGAACTGTGGCCACAGGGTCCTCAATTTCAAATCTCAGATGCTCATAAAAAAAAAAAAAAAAATACAAAATTTTTTTGGTTCATGTAACAAACAACTTCAGGAGTGTCATTGTCTCCTTAGCTCGGATGAGGCGCCCTGCTCCACCTCTTTCCATCCCCTGCCCCATTTCCACGTCTCTTGGCTAAATGTAGGCAAATGCTTCCCCTGCGGCTTTTTCCCCTGCACCAGGAAGGAAGTACCAGTGATCCCACCCTCAGATATCACCACATTAGTGTCATAGAGAACAAAGCTTCTCTCTCCCAAAGGGTTCCAGTCCTTCAGGAACTGAATCCCATTACATAGATCTATGGCTTGAGCTGTTTGCCTGCTGTGAACTGGCCCCTGTGCCTGCAGAAAAGGCATCATGGCAGAGTCTGAGCTAGTCAGTGAGAAGCTGTTTCCTCAAATGGCAAGGAGGGTGCTGTTTCCAAAGAGGAAGATGCTGACTGGATGTGGGTAAAATAACAATCATGAATCACGGTCCACACTTCAACATCTCATCTGCACACCTCCTTCTTTCTATCCACACAATCTTAATGGCCTCCCACACCATATAACACACCAACACACACGCACACACACCTCAGAGTCTTCTTTCTTCTTCAGTCATAGGTAGCCCAGAATGATGTCTTGTTTTACACCCAATCCCAAGATGAGGGACTTCTCAATGAGCTCTAAATATAGCACTTCATGGTTTGATAGCCTATAAACTAAATGATGAGTGTGAGCGTCCCCAACACACCTGGCACGCAAGAGTGAGGAGAAGACAGAGCAATATTATTGTGCTGCCTGCTTTCAACCAGATCTACTGTCTTTTTATTATGACTATTACCTATAATTCTTTCCATCATCTGGCTCTGACCCAGTCATTGCACATAGGTGCTGTGTGTCTCCACTTGTGGCTGGTGATCTTGCTCTGGGGGAATACCTTCCATGCCCAGAAGGACGCTCGCTGCTTCCCATCCTGCAGGAATGCAAGTCCAATTCCCAGTCCTCTCTAATTTCACTCTTATCTTTCTTTCCAGTCACATCACATGACAAGGAACTCACGTGTTCTAGCCCTGCAAGGCACAACATTACCCGACTTTCAGCATCCAAAGGCAAAGGAGGCCTCTTATACGTAAACCAAGACATGTTTTCAGGTAGGTCAGTTTTGACAGAAGCTAGACTCTTGCTCACAGAACCTGAGTTTCAGGAAGCAGCTTGCATACTCCACAGTCTGGAAAGTTCCACCAGGCACTTCAGCAATCCCACCCTAGATGGCACTGGCTGTGGCGCCCAAGATGGGATAGGCAATGGCTTAACTAGCTGCTTTATTAGAACACAACACGGCTGTGACCGTCTTAGCCCAGGATGGAACTTCTCATTGCCTTCCACCCAACCTTGAGTCAGCCAATTCCAATTTTAGAATCTGTTACTTACAACATGTCCCTACTTGTTTCTGGCTCCTAGCAGGAAGTAGAGATGCCACAGCTGTGCCAAGTCAGACCACTGAACCACCCGGTAAGCCTGTCACCACTGCCTTCAGAGCTCCAGGAAGCTAGTTCATCTGGACCCACGTTTCTCATTCGCTCTTGGGTCCTTTTGCTGGTATCATTTGATTGTTTATTCACGCAGGCAGGCCAACTAGTGCACCAGAGTTCCAGGCTGGCACGTCACCTCCTCAGACACCATGGGGTAAGGAGAACTGATTCCCAGTATCCAGACAGGAGCCCTGAAACTGATCCCGTGGGTCAGACTCCGGTCATTTGCCCACCTTGGAATGATAGAGGCAGAGTTCCCTCCATGCCCAAAGGAACATCAGAGTCTACTTCCAAAGAAGGCATGACAGGTGGGCAGGTAGAAACCAAAGATGTCCTCAACAGTCACTGATGGCTTAGAAGCATCTCGAAACTTTGCACACCACTCTTTCTGCCCATCCCCTTCTTCTCCCCAGGCTTCCTGGTAGAATCTCACTTTTGCGTGCTTAGCTGTTTACCTGGTCTCATTATGAGTCCTTACTTATCTCAACCAGTTATCATACATGCCTTCCCATTCTCCAGATTATTTAATTGGTAGATTCATAACAAGTTCCAGTCAATTAGATGAAGGAGAAATCTGGGAAGGTGATTTTCTTTACTGAAAGAAAGAAATGTGTACAAAGCCTGTCTGCTGTCCTAGACACCTCTGAACTCACTCCCAGTTCTTGCCTCTGGGCTTAGATGTATGAGGATAAGGCTGGAGCTGCTGCAGCCATTTTATGAACAGTGTGAAGAAAACCAAGATAACTACAAAAATGTTAGCTTAGAATTCTGACAAAATGAAAGAACCAAAGTAGCTCTACAGCTACTACCCTGGCTTGTTTGCCTAACACTATAGACGTACCTGCTGGATTTCTGTCTCTTCCATCTATCTGGACAGACCCTACCTCTCCTATAACCATTCTCCACAAACACACGTCTCTTCGTGCAGAGCAGCAAGCAAGATACAGTCAGCACTCTATCCATCACCCTTTACTAAGGCAAAAATATCCCATCCTTTGCCATCCCACAAGACTAAGGAAGGGTACAAGCCTGGATGTACTTCCTGTCCCAGACCTGTCCCCTTTGTCCCTTACCATTGGATTGGGTTGACCTTATAATTATAGAGGCTGAGAATCCCCACCAGCTGCTGCCTACAGTTGGGTAACCAGAGAAGTTGGTGGTGTGGGTCGCTCCCAATCCAAAGCCCCTCTCTATAGCACACACCTCTCCATAGCAGCTCATGTCTGTAAGGGCCGTGGAGGTTCCACCCACCTACCAACCTCCCTCAGGTCAGGAGAGCAGCATAAGAGACTATGAAACAGAGAAACCAAACACCCTGCAGCCAGAACAGCCTGGCCATCACTACATGCGGGTCCTCATCTCCAGGACCTCTGAAACCTCTTCTTCTTTATCCCCTTAACACTGTAGAAGAAGTGTGCTGGGGGGCAGGGAGAGCCCCATTCCACTTTGTACTAATGACTCCTGAAAAAATGAGACAAGGCCCAAGGAGGCCTCGTGATGGCAGAGCCTGGAGATAGAGTGTCTGGCAGGGATGCTGCGGTGGCAGAGGGTAGGAAAATGTACTGCGAAGTTTGCAATCTGCCCCCATCTGCTCTGCGCTGTTCCATCCGCAGCAGGCACTGAACGGCTCATCTGCTCTTGCCAAACAGACCCATGTGGAGACCAGGCTGTCTGGACAAGTCTATAGATAGAAGGAGAGGCAGCTCTCACTGTCTGGGGTCTCACAGAGCTGGCACAGTCCAACCCAAAGGCAGAATGCCCATTGTCCGGCATGCTGGCACTTTTACCGGCATGCTGGCACTTTTACGCTGAGATCTCGGAATTCCAGTCTCCAGTAGTGTGCTCTCCAAGTCCATCGTCTCATGGTAAGTCCACATATGTGACCAAATGTAGTTGAAAATGAAGTTGGAAAAGTAAACTGAGGCTAGACTGCGAAGGGCCTTGTATAAGAAGCCAAAGTGTTCAGGGCATAGCTCTCCATCTGTGGCCTCTGTTTTTATGGTTGATCCAGAAGCATAGGAAGAAAACATTAAAATTTCTGTATTTCTGTGCAACTAAATGCATAACAAATTAGTTCAGTCTAGGAACTTCCAGGCTGAAATGCAGCTTAGAAGTTGCTTCCATGTGTTGCAGTGAACATAGATTGTTCCTATGTAAGACTGGAAGAGCATCAGAGATCACAGAGGAGCTGGTAAGAGAGCTGGGAAGGGTAGAGGGAGGGAAGGGCAGTGCAGCAGCAGGAGTGGACAGTGTCCGCCCACGCCATGGCTCCCCAGCAGGAAAAAAGTAAGCCACGAGCCGCTAGTGAACAGAAACCGGCAGTCCTACCCACAGGACAAGCCATGGTTCTCACAAGCCTCTAATC